TTGCAGTTGGTGTAGGACACATGCTTTGCAAAGATTCGTTTTGGGCTTACATTTCTTCTCTTTAAGTTTCTATCCTGGCCTTGGTGTGGGATTGAGGGTTCAAGGATGTTACTAGGGCATAGGAATAGTGCTTGAGCCTGAGCTGACCTTGACAACCAACCTGGCGCGGCATGTAGAAAATTCTCGGGCAGCATAGACTACCCTTAGCCGCTGTCCATGGGCATAGACTTTGGGATGTGGATTTTAGTTGACCCCTAAACCCTAAACCCTAAAAACGGTTCAACTTCAGCATTGGGACTCAAGGGCTGAGGATCTCAAGTCAGGATTTGGGTCAAGGAGTCGGCTCAGCGTACAAATTTGACCTCTGGATTTGGGTTTTGCCAGAAGTGGGGACCCAACATAGACCTCAAAATGCTACTGTATAACCCTGATTTTAGGGACTCCCAAAATCGTCGCTCCAATTTTTGAGACCTCCATTTGTATTTAGAATATAGAGGCTTGGAGGCCTGCGGCATTCGGATCAAGTGTCCGCATTCTTTCATGCGTTTGCAGGGGCATTGGGAACCCTAAACCCTAAACCCCAAACCCTAAGGTTTAGGGTTTAGGGTTTAGGGTCGAAAGATCCTGCAGGGTTTGGAAGGGTAAGTTTTGCATGTGGAGGTGCTCCATTCAGCGGCTGGTTCCTCAACAGGGATTCCTGTATTGAGCATACCGTTGCCGTCCCGCTAGCCAGGTAAATGTGCGAGCAGATGCATGCGCTACCTAGAAGTGTTCAATGCCTTCACTTGGGACTTCTAGGTTGACATTCTTAGTGTGGAAATATGTGGAAGCTGTAGCTAAAAAGACAATTTCTCGATTCTTTTGGGAAGCATGTTCCAATTTGTCAGGGGTCGCGCCGCTTTCCTGTAATCTTGCAGCAAGACAAAGATCATGCAGCACAGGGGCGATAGAGACTACTTCACCTGACGTGCCCTGGAAAATGAAAAGCAGAACGCCGAAAACCTGAACTCCGTAAGTGAGCGCACTAGAAGCAGGAGCCTGGCCTGCCAGCACCCTGAAAACCATACTTCTCAAAGATGGAAAATGCTAAACAGTACCAACAAATCTGAAGATTGCTTCTGTAAGGTCGCCAAAGGAGACCCCCTGAATTCTTGGAAGTCAGGTTTTTGGCCCCAAACAGCTACTTCTTCAGCATGCTATTGTTTGTTCAAAATACATGTTGTTCAACCACGCCCTTGTCTGGGTTGCTGTTAAGGAACTTAAATTAAGTTACTATGTTGGGAAACCCTATTATTTACTATATATACCCATTATGGTAACTTAATTTAAGTTCCTTAACAGCAACCCAGTTGTAGGAGATGTTGAGAGAAGAGCGTATGTCAACGCTGTCCCGGCCTTGAGTCATGAAGTTGCGGCGGCGTCCAGTACAGCGTGGGCTCTTCATAGCCTGGGGCTTCACTGGGTTGCTGTTAAGGAACTTAAATTAAGTTACTATATTGGGGGAACCCTATTATTTACTATATATAATCATTATGGTAACTTCATTTGAGTTCCTTATCAGCAACCCAGTTTAAAGTTCTGGTCTTGGAAACTGACGTAGAAGGTTCCACCCTTCAAACATCATGCATGATGCAAGAGAGGATTTGCAGCATGCCCAAACCAATGAGCTCGCCATTTGGGACTCCAAAGGAAGCTTGAGGATGAGCAAGGGTCCCCAACTTGGCCTGGCTAACCATGAGCCTTGGGTCCACACGGTACGTGGTGCTGTTGCAGCAAGACCGTAAGTCATGCGTTTCAGGACGTGTTGACATTCCTTTCGCACTTGTGGATGCACATGTGTTTCTTTGATGATCCTGCGGTACTAACTGGCTGGTATTTGGGGCAAAAGGTCGTTGAATTCTGCAAGGAATTTGTCGGGGTCCGGGGCAACAGAGCTCACGACCTGAAACGAATCCAAACAACCAGGCTCACATCCTGGACGTGAAGGCCTAGACCTAGACTGTGTAGCTTTGTTGTATATATGGCCTAAACTTCAAGGCATCAAGGTCCAAGATTTTAGACCTGCTTGCGGTCGTAGATGCCGAGGTCGCGTCAAGAGCAGTCGCGAACGCGTCTACAGGCCGCTTAGTGAGCTGCATCGACATCACCCTCGTTGCCTTTGCTGGGCTTAGTGACTTGCATCTAGGGGCAAGCCGATCGGAAGCCATGCACTTGGCTCTGTTCTGCTTCGTAGCCCGTCCATGGGCTTGCCGCCTTGGATCCCTTTGAGGGCCGTCAAGGTGGAATTGCCTTTTGGGCCTTGTCAAGGATAACCTAGGCTGTATCCAGACAAAACTTTTCTCTGGCAACAGGCATTTGGCAAGCTGGGCCACGCAGGCTGGCTTGGAAGGGAAGGGGTTAGGAGGTTCGGCTTTTAAGGGGAGTTTGGCGGATTTCAGGGTTTATGGTTTGGTAACTTAGGAAGGAGGTGGCATGCTCTCGAGGGATGTGAGCCAGCCTCATTCCCAACCCGTGCATTTGGAGTATCAAGATGTTGCAGCGTTTTAGTTTGGCACTGCGGTCCACATTTACGGTCTCCAGCATGATCCTAGAAAGAACACAACAGGCGCTTTTGAATTTGAAGTTTTGAAGGGTTTGCAGTCGTGAGTTGCAGTAAAGGCTCGGGGGTGATGCTGTTTGACATTGAGGTTGTCGGGTTCAGTTTCGGTTTGCATCTCACTCGCTCATGAGCCCGTGCACGGCAGAAAGCAGTGCAGCAAGCTGACCAGCTTCGGCTTGTGAGATTTTAAAAGGTGGGTCAGTAGTTGAGGCACTCGAACTTGACAGCAAGGGGGCCCCTGTCCCTTGGTACAGCTTGTTTTTTAGACTGGGGTAGCAGCTTTACTAGTATGGACATATACTGTAGGAGTTCGCCCCTCCTCCCGTTCCGCATCTGACATTAGCGGTCTGACTTACATTCTGAGCTTCCATGCAAGAAACCTTCACATTGAAACTCCAACTTGTGAACCTTCAGGCCAAGGAAAAAGGCCCTCGAGAGGTGGATTTCCTTGTCAGAAAGATTTCTTCAGGATACATCTAAAGTTGTTTGCTTCAGTATTCCTATACGCTAGTATTCTTCAACCCCTTGTGTGCAGGGAGCTTGCACACAGATGGTGCAGAAGGTCCCGGCCCTGAAACCTCAACCCCACCGCAACCACACGTTGGGGTCAGCTTGTCAATGTTGCATGACAGCTATTTCTGCAAATAGCTAAGCTGAAGAAGGTAAAACATCTCATGTCTGTTGTGCCTTCAAGGGAACTACAGTCCACAGGCCTTAGCACTTGGGACGTGCGGCTCGAGGAGAAGGTGTCTCGCTTCCAGGACTGCAGAGTGCACGGTGTCAGGTGTTGATGTGCCGTCTTGTCATCATGAATCCTACTGCCGCGGCAGCGGTGCCCTGCACTCGAAGAATTAACACTCCAAAGGTCTTGCTGAACTATGGTTGATGCTCCTTTCATGTGAAGGACATGCGAGCGTTTTCCGATTCAATGTGGAATTCCTTCTACGACTGGAACTCCCAGTACCAGTCGCTGGGGTGAGGCTCAGACTTTGGTCCCGTTACTTTGCTTGTGGTCTAGATCTTTAAGGGTGCTGTGTGATGTGGCTTTGGGGTAGGGGTCCAAGGTATGAACATCGTGACTTAAGATTTTGAGTCTTGGGGTGTATGCATGTATTCCGCGTGCACTACGAGGTCATCCATGCCACCCGTAAGATGGAATATGGAACCTAGTTTCAGTATTGAATGTGGAAGCTACAGGCCAGTCCCGAAAAGCTGACAATTCAGAACCCTGAAAAGTTGTTGTTGGGCTGCAGCAATGGCTGGTTCCTGTGCTTTTTTTTTTTTGTGTCGTATGTAAAGACTACTATAACCATCTCTTTGGGCATCATGCAACGGATGCGGAGACAACCACCCTGAATAAGATATGTCTTCTGAGCCAACCATGTGCTGGCTGAAGTTTCGTTTTTGCCGTCTAGAGGTTCCTGGAAACACTCTGACCTGCAATCTTGCAGTGGATTTCTGGCTTCATATGGTCCAAGGCCCAGCAAATAAAGAAAATACTGCAAGTCCCGATCCCTAAGCGCCTACATGTTTTCGTTAGCTGCACATCATCCTGCAATGTTTTTGTCATGGCAGGTTGCAGATGGGGTCCCGCAGTATCACCTGCTTTGGCAAAATGTCAAGCAAGTTTCACTGAAGAGTGGGTTTCGGGCTTAGCGCAAGCCCTTGTGAGCCTTGGAAAGCGCCATGCACCAAGTAGAAGCCATCAGAGAAGCCTGCATAGGTTGGCTGGCCCATCCAAGAGTCCAGGGCCCATCAGAAGAAGCAGGTTGCCGGCCAGATGCAAAAACTGGCTTTCCCTAGCGACACGCGGAACCTTAAGCACGACGGCGCGACAAGAGCCTGGATAAACCCCAAAGTCCAAACATGAAGTACGCAGTCTTCTCATTATTGTGTCCAGGGCGCGTCAGCTTCTTCAGAAGTAGTGGGGAGTACATATCCGTGTTGTGGTTTTGACACCCCATACAAATTTTGGTGCGTGGGGAGGGGGGCAGCGAGGCTCGCAAAGGCATGTCTTCAAGATCTGCTAGGAAGACTTGAAGTTGGCTGCACTAGGTTCGTTGTTGAGTCGCATGAGCATGGGATCTCCGCAAGAACACGTTGCTCTTTGGGCTCAAGATTTTGGGCCATGACAAAGCGCAGCACTGCACTGTTCTGTGAGGGCTGGGGCCATGCAGATAACACGGAGGTAGCCCGCCAGTGCAGGTGCTGGTGCCTCAGCAGTGCAGGTTTAGCGCTTCCAGGTCTCCATAATACTCTGGTTCCGCGTTTGGGCATTGGACTTGTTTGTATACATAAAGGCAAGAAATATCGGCAAAGGTGATTTTTCACGTTGGCTACTCGCCCAGATCTCTACCTCTTTAAACCTCTGACCCTAAGCTCTGAACCTTGCGCAAACTAGGCTTCTGTCCGTTGCCGTGTTGGCGGCCAAGATGTCCTCCCACATCTTGCTCTCGGAGCACATCTTGCAGCAGGCTGCAGCAGAGGATTGGGAAGAGATGCCTGGAATGCAGAGCATAATTCGAAGGGCAGAGGCTCTTGGGCCTCAGGACACCTTCGTTGTTACTCGTAACTGCTGCTTAAACCCAACTCCTACTACAGGATCTAAGGGTGTTGAATAGAAGCTGGGAGGAGATTTCACACGACGCCCAGCACGGGCAACTTCCGTGGATTCGGGCAGATTGCGTCATCGACGTAGCCCAAGCAACGGCTTACCTTGGCCAGGCCATTGTTTTCTTGTACAAGGCAGGTATTCCGAAAGATTCCCAAGCCTCAAACATATAGCCCGGGCTCCTGAAGCCTGTGCCTTACACCTGCTGACTGGACCTGTCAACTTGCCCGTAGCCCTCCAAGCTCCTTCAGCTACGGTTTTATTACACGGTTGAGGGTCTAGGCCTAGGGGCTAGGGTTATTGGCCTAGGGGCTTCGGATGAAGCATGCATCCATTCAGTATGGCCTACATAGACTACTCTACACTAAAAGTGAGCTACATGAGCTTCCAAGTCAATTTGGTTGGATAGTGCAGTATGGGCTGCTGCAACTAGATCCGCGGCTTTGGGATCTGGAAGTGAGAGTAAGAGGCCATCGACTACAAGGGCCTGCAGTGTCCAGACAACTCCCCGTCGGGCTGTGCGGCAAGTGTGGCAGGCAAGGTTGCCTGGCTAAGGGGTCGTTTTGATGGCGTACTAGCTCGTTGCAATTCCTACTTATGGCAATCCGGCAAAGGAGAAGGAGGCGAATGCAGGCAAGTTTTTTTTTTTTTTTTT